TATTGTATAGCCATTTGAAGCATTTTGACATTCTTCATGCTAAAGAAGTTGTACATAAAACATAAATGCAACCTTATAAAATGCAGGGGAGATTGACGAAACTCAAATGTTAGTAACTTTTAACCTTAAATGTTTCCTTTATTTCTTGCTCTTTCCTTCAAACAAGTCTTGCGTCATCTGGATATTATCTTGGAAAAGGCCCTCTACCTGGAACATGTCAATTTCTCTGCAATCAATCCATTCCTTACACATTCCCAAACAAAGATCCCCAGCTGCCTACTGCCTCCCTAAGCTATAGTCCATCCTCCATTGGCTCACAGAAACACTTTTGAGGTTTTTGCTCTCCTCTTAGCATTCTTCTTCCCCAATCTTGTAGTTAATCTAAGGAGTCTTCTACCTACAGGAGTTTAATGCCCCCAGTTAAAAGGCTGAAGGGTTTCAAATATCTATGCTGAATGATCCAATACCCTGGTTCCCTACTACCCCACTCCCAGCCCCTCCTGGCCGCACAGCCCTAGGCCCCCACCCAGCCTTGCCTGTCTCCATGCTCAACAGGGTTTCTGCAGAAGCCATTCAGCCAGGCTTCCACACCCAAGACACCTTTATTCTCACCGACAGAACCTGAGTAACCCCCTCCCCTGCTTTTCTGAGTCCTAAGGCAGGCAAGCTCAGGTTAGTTTTAAAAAATAAATATAACAAAACCCTAACACACCAGTCTAGCTCTGCCACTATGTGACATCGGACAGTTTTGTCACCTTCTCTGGATTTACTTCCTCATCTTTGAGATATTACCCCATAAATGTGTGGTAAACATTAACATAACACTTGCTCACCTTTTATTTCCCTCAGAATTTGCTGTGACTCTCCTCTCAAAGTGGAATCCTCTCCAGCCTGGCTCCAAAGCACTCAACTCTTAACTGCAAATAACCCAATTTTCTACCTGACCTTGAGCCATCAGTTCCCTCACTCCTTAGTTCTAAAAATAAAACACAAATAAAGCCCTCCTGCAGCCCCCTCTACTGCCTTTGCCCTCTTCATTAGGAAGTTACTTTAGCCCATTATAGTTTAGATTTCGTTCTCAACCCTAGTAATGGCGATAAAGGTAGGTACCATCTCATCCTTGGATAATCAGGTTGGAAAGACAAATATACAGGCAATTCTTGCTCATTTGGGGCAGGACTGTCATAACGCTACTTCTCTACATCTAATCATCAAAACTTTGAGTTCTCTCAACTCTAAGGATGGTGTGTGGAGCTTCCAGTGGAGTGTGTGGAAGGAAGCATGGGGTCCTCACTACCAAGGCCGGGACTGAGCAACTGACCTAAGGTTTCCTTGTCAGATGGGAGTCACTACAGAATCCATGAGCCTAACCACTGTTAGGTATGAAATGCTTGGTAATGAGAAAATGCCAATTTTCCTCTCTTCATTCCTAATCAGGTGATAGGTTTGTGCCTTAGTTTCTCCACTACATTGTAAATCCTTTAAGAGTTAAGGCCTTGCGAGTCAACTGTTACTAGTCAATATTTCTAATGAAAACCACTATCAGTTCATAGTAGTAAAATATGGCAACACCACAATGTTCCAAACCACCACCAATTCGAATAACTCTAAAAATGTAAGCTTCCTAATCGTATACCTAAAAATTTTAGATTATAATTTGGGTTCTTAAGATTCCGGTTTATGAAGATACCCATTTCCTCTGGATCTACATATGTTATAAAACTTCAACCCAAATAGGCCATATTGCCTGTCAGTTTTCACAACCCTCCAGAAACGTAAAAAAAAAAACCAAACCCATAGAAACATAGTTCCTGTGCCATATGAACATAAGGCTGCAGCAGGATCTGGCGCACGGGCTGCAGTTTGCCAACCCTGGTCTAAAGAATTGGGTTAAGAGCTTTCAGACCATGCCTTTTTTGTCTGGATTCTCAGTCCTGGAACAAGTTTCAAAGCACAGCATGCTTTAAATAAATATTTGAATGGTTGATAAAAGCAAGTTAAGGATTGTGAAATCGCTGTTAGTACTTGCGTTGGCAAATGGTAAAGGAAACACTGCAAAACTTCGGGGGCACATATTATTTCTATCTGGCCATCTAGCTGTCTGTCTTGGTAGATTTTCTGATCCCAGCTATCAGACATTCAGAAACTTAATGCATAAGGGAGATTAGAAAAGGCAGAAATAGTCTGATGTTTAAATAGGAGGGAAAAAATTAAAATTCAGTGCAGTAAGATTGAGCATTATAGACTTAAAAAAGCAGACAAGCTAGAACAAAATGTTTTATTATCAAAATAAAAACTTTATATAAAAGCATTACAGATCAAAAGCTCTATTTACATTTATTGATTCAAGGTCCATGCATGCATCACTGAAAGGACACAGCAACAGGCTGCACTGGCAAAGGGAAATGGACAACACTCAGACCCACCTCTACCAAGTGATTAATGCAAAAAAAATGGGGGGGGGGGGGGGAGGGCTCGACACATGAAATCTGCCCAGAAACTAAACTGGCGGAGATGTCAAGTCAACAAACTGGAAAGTCACCCATCTCCAAAAAGGCACTTCTCTTTGCTCTAAAAGTGCTTGAAACTTGGACACTGAACACGAACCTCGTGCCTAGCTTTCATTGGTAAAAGCCTCCACCTTATGTCTGAAAACAAAAAATTTCTTCAAGAAAACAAAAACTGCAAATTGTATGCTAACATTAGTATCAATTTTCCAAGCAAAATGATCAAGAATTTGAAATGCCTTACATTTATTAAATGAAATAAACTTGGCAAGCTACCATTATACTGAAGGTTATATCATGAATTCAAACCACCCTATTTCATACTAATTCCCTAGGACCGTGGTCGGCAAACTGCGGCTCGCGAGCCACCTGCGGCTTTTTGGCCCCTTGAGTGTGGCTCTTCCACAAAATACCAGGTGCGGGCGCACGGACAGTGCGATCGAAACTTCGTGGCCCATGCGCAGAAGTCGGTGTTCGGCCTGGACGAGTCCATTTTGAAGAAGTACTGTTGATATTTGGCTCTGTTGACTAATGAGTTTGCCGACCACTGCCCTAGGATGTCTTTTCTATAATGACTGTGAATATAGCACTGTCCACAATTCTTTGGATTGTGCCAGTTTGAGCCCGATGTACCACCCAACCTCATGGTGGAAAAAATCAGCAACTAAATCCCAGTGGTGACTACTTGTATAATAAGCACCATAATGGAATATTCTCATTAGAGGCGTCCAAAGTAACACACCCCACTTTCCAACAATTACCTCATTCCTCTCCACATGGTTTTTTAAGACTTTTGGGCCTTGATTCTGTAAGAAATGTCAACTAGTGTGACCATCATGCCCATTGTTTTTGTGTCAACAAGTTAGAGGGCTGGTCTCAATAGATGTAATTAGTTAACACCACTACTGCGTTTCTAAGTGCTTGGTTTTATAGGTGGATTCCAGGGCTATTTCAACACCGATTAAATCAAACATGCTTTCATAAAACGGTCGTTTTAAAAGAATTCAGAAACGAGAGGGTGAGAGAGACCCACTGTAAACAGAGGGGGTTGGTGTGGGGTGAGGGGCAGGAGAAAGCAAAGAAATGGCAAGAGGACAAAGCACAGCTGGAAACACGCCTCCGGGAGGCTGGGAAACACGGCCGATGAGAGTAACTTGATCTGAGTTTCCTATAAACAAACTGATCATCAGAATTCTTAACTCAGGATTCCGCTGCGTGACACCATTGAAAACTTTAACAAGGAAGACGGGCGCAGTGGAAGGCAGGTAGTGGACCTTCCAAATACTATGCCTGCATCTCAAACTCCTGCTTCAGGCTGAAAGAAGAAAAGGAAACATGTCAGGGCATTGTTTTCAAACTCAGCACTCTCTCCTGAAAGCCTAATTCACTCTTTTAGAAATGTTTTTATTGAGTTATAACATACATGCTTTAACATATGTTGTGCACATCTTGAATTTACACACACACGTGCACCCACACACAGATCCCCACTGCCCAGGTGACGTAAAATGTTTTAAACATTCCAAAAGACTCTCAATGTGCCCCTTTCCGGTCAATACCTGCACCCCCACCCCCTGAGGTAACCACTACTCTGACTTCTACCATCCTTTTATTAAGACATAAGTGAATATAAGATCTGGGTGGGGAAGAGAAAAAAAAAGCAATCATTACCTTTTCAAGTAAGCGTGCACATTCCCAAAGCCATGGTATTTGGCTAGGTACACCAGGACCCCAGTCGCACACCGCCCATCTCGCTGACGACAGAAACTGCAATTGCAGATTCTTCGACAAGGCGGGCAATGCCAGTTCTGAAGAATTGTGAAAAGGCATAATTAAATCAAACCTACTCCCTCTCTCCCCCTTACTTATCTACTCCTATTTAACCTCTAAGGTGGGTATCATTAATCGCTTTTAAATCTTTTATTTTTTTATTAAAAGAAAAAAATCTTAGCATGGTTAATATCCACTAGTCATGCCTAATGTTCCCTTAGGAATTCCAGCACAGAAAGCCACTCGGCACTGACCAGGGGTGAACACGAACGGAGAATCAGATTCCCCTGAGCAGGCAGGTCCCGAGCTCTCGGGAAGGGGCTCACACCCACCCAGCACCAGCACTATGAATTCACCTGCCTCTCCCGAAATGAAAGCCCCACATCAGAAACCCTTTCTCCGATGCCATCTTTCTGGCCCCATCAGCTAGCGCCTGACCTTCAAAGCCCACAGGACCACCCTTCCAGGCACCTACTGGATCCAGCAGGGCGTCCTTGACCTCTTCGCCGTAGCGGTTCCGAAGGCAGGGGCCGCAGAACTGGCCCCGAACGCCCCAGCACTCTGGGTTTCTGCAGTTTGTTTTGGTATCGATGGTTTTCTGGCGGCACTGATGACAAGTAGATCCCTACCAATAAAAAGCAAATTAAAACAACAACAACACTGCTTTCTGTAGAGAAAACCAGCTTATTTAAAGAATGTCCTCCCTGATAGGTGGTCTGACATTTTGAATCTTATTTCCTATCTTATATACACATGTATGTGCTAGGACAGTGGTCGGCAAACCGCGGCTCGCGAGCCACATGCAGCTCTTTGGCCCCTTGAGTGTGGCTCTTCCACAAAATACCATGTGCGGGCGTGCACGTACAGTGCGATTGAAACTTCGTGGCCCCTTGCGCAGAACTCGGTTTTCAGAAAGGAGATAGACGAAACAAGTATACAAGACGAGTGTGGATGGGAGAGTTGGAAGGGGTTGACCTCAGCGAACGTACCTCAATCAGATTGAGGACGTTTTTAGCAAAGGCCAGCTTAGGAGTACCCTAATTAAGGTAATAACAATGTACCTATCTATATAGTTTAAGTTTAAAAAATTTGGCTCTCAAAAGAAATTTCAATCGCTGTACTGTTGATATTTGGCTCTGTTGACTAATGAGTTTGCCGACCACTGTGCCAGGACATGGAAAGTATCTCTAGCATGGCGATTTAATTCAGTTGGCGGATTCAATATTATCTACACTTCTTTCCTTCAAATAAAGGTCTTAACGTGCAAGAAAACTTGCCCAGAATCCTTTTTTATGTTTAGCACACCACCATCTCCCCAGCACCCATCTATGTAGACACACCTAATAGATACACAGGAAATATGTGCTGGATGAACCAATTTCTAAACTAACACAAAAGATTTAATGCTACTGAAGACTGAGGAGGGCTAGATCCCAAGGATGCTACAAAACTCTCTTTTCTCATATGAAAGACTCAGGCACACATCCCATATGCTCGGACATTTAGAACATCAGCAAAACTCTAAGGAGAGAGGCTATCCTTCCTCTCACAGACATTTACATTTTCATTCAGAAAGTGGAGGCTTTTACCAATGAGCGGCTGTATATCTTCTCTCGAGAATTGTTGCAAATGTTCTCCAACTCCTCCTCTGTAATCTCTTCCACTGGGCGGATGACATGCGGAAGGGTCATGGATCCGGGACGACGACCTCGGGGCATGTCATCATCCTGCATAACAGCAAGCATGGGAACAGTGTTCTGACCGGCTCTCCCCAGTCCCGAGTCTCAGATACCTGATTTATCATTTTTTCACAGAGAATTCAACTTGGGAAATCTTTCTTAAGGCTTATGGAGAGGAGACAAGTCCTCAGTTTACAGAACACCATCATGGAAATGATTCCTAAAACTAAGAAAGGCTGACAAAGAAGAAAACTTTGACTCCTTCACCCGCTAACAAAAATCATCAAATATTCCAGACATTCACAACTTGCAGTCATAAGAGGATCCATTTATAGGAGAGAAAACTTTAAAAATGTAGTCAGTGTGGTAAAACCTTTAGACAGACAGAGTTCAAATCTTACTCAACATAAGAAAATCCACACTATAGAGAAACCTTACAAAGGTAGTGTTATGTGTCAAAGCTTTTACCCGATATGCAAGCCTTACCAAGCATCAGAAAATAATGAACAGAAACATTATAAACCTAATTTATGTAGCAATGCTTTTATTCAAAGCTCAAGCTTTGGGGATCATCAAAAAATTCAAGTAGAAAGAAACCTTACACATATGACTGAGATAAAACTTAGGGTAAGTGTTCAAGCCTTACTCAACGTCAGAGACTCCATTGTGGAGAGAAATCATATACAACTCATATATGTGGAAAAGCCTGTAACCAGGGCTCACACCTCACTTGATCCCAGAATATACAAGTGTGGGTGGGAGTACATGAAACACAGAATTTATTCTTGTATTTTTCCATACAAACAACTGTAAACCTACTTTTGCCAACCACTGTACATTTTTGAGAGAAACCGAACAAATATATGGCAACGCCTATCCAAAGTTTAAGCCTTGTGGAATATAACAAAATTCTTACTAGGGAGAAACTTTACGAAGGTACTGAGTGTAACCAGCTTTATGAAAAATGCACAGCTTTGTGGTCATGACAGAATTCATATGAGATGGAAACCATACAAATGTCTCAAGACCTTTAGCAATGGCCTGGATACACCAAAGAATTCCTACAGGACACAGACATTACAAATGTAATGAAGATGTAAGTTTAATCAGTTCTTTCAATGAACACACACAAAAAATCATACTAGGGGGCACCACGTCTATTACTTTTGAAGGTTAACCAATGTCAGATGTTAAATTCCAAGAGAATGAAAAGTTAAAATTGCCCTGGCCAGTGTGAGTCAATGGCTAGAGCATCACCTGCACACCAAAGGGTCTTGGATTTAATTCCTGGTCAAGGGCATGTACCTGCATTGCAGGTTTGCTCCCTGGGCACGTGTGAGAGGCAACCAATCAGTGTGTCTCTCTCACATCAGTGTTTCTCTCTCTCTCTCCCCCTCCTCCTCCCTCCTTTTCCACCCTCTGAAAAGCAATGAAAAAAATATCCTCAGGTGAGGATTAACAACAACAAAAAAGTTAAAATTATTTAAAACTCATGAGAATGCTGTATGTCAATGGAGCAAGAAAATCTGTGGAAAGGTCTAATTATTTTCAGTTTATAAAATGTTATTTGAAGTTTCTTGAAAAGGCTACACTATTATTGATGACTTAAAAAAAACCACCAAATAACTTGGTATGACATTAACAATTCTGAGTGGTTTGAGAAGAACATTTAATGTGAATCATTTGGTGTTGGGCCTACAGAAGATGAAAAACAGAAAAGCAAGCACAAATGTGGAGAACTCACGTTCATGTAGCCGTCCATGGTCTTCCTCTTTCTCACCAACATGTACTTATCCTCCTCCTCCTCTGCCTCCTCCTCCTCCGTGGGTAGAGCGCCACGGGACCCAAGGATCCGGGACCTTGACCTGGTAAGAGGACGTGCTCTCCGATCGGGGTTTCTCCTGGACGTAACACCTGGGAATGTGCGCCTCCGGGGTGTCTTTGGTTGCTAAACAAAACACACGACAGAACCCATTTATTCCAGAATGAAGGGAAGTGGCACCTTCTCCTATGCATGTGTTTAAGTAAAGGGAGAGCTCCACTTCCTGATTTTCTGTCCTTTCTATAATGCATGGGAAATGAGCCCAAAAAACAGCCGTTATAATTTTGCTTTTGTAACACCAAGTCCAGGTTCTCTCCAACTGAGAAGTAATTTATTTATTCATCTACATAATAACAATGTAAGAATAAATCTTGTTTTCCAAAACAACCTTTTCTACCTCTTTTTTTTTATTGATTTTAGAGAGGAAAGAAGAGGGAGAGAGAGAGATGGAAACATCAATGACGAGAGAGAAAGAATCATTGATTGGCTGCCTCCTGCACACCCAACGCAGGGGATGGAGCCCGAATCCTGGGCATGTGCCCTGACTGGGGATCGAACTGTGACCTCCTGGTTCATAGGCTGACACTCAACCACTGAGCCACACTAGCCAGGCTCTACGACATCTCTTAAGCCCTGACACACTCACTGTTTCTACAGTACACAAAAGAGAATGTATGTGTGGTTTTCCTTCTTCCATTCCTTGCTAGCTTCTTCCTTTTCTCCTCAAGGAGGGGTAGGGAAGGAAAGTCTTTTCTTTTGTACCACAGCAGACAACACCAAATTCCCCCGGGTTACACCAGCTTAGTTCTCAGAATACACTCACATATATTAGGCCATGACTTGGTTAAGAAATCATTTTTTTTTCCTTCTCAGATTTTAAAAACATCGATTACTATGCATCTACCATGAAAGAGAAATGTGCAAATGCTGGGAATACAGGAAAAATATTTTCCTATCTTTATTCTGTGCCCTTGAGGGGTTTAGTCTAGTTAGAAAAAAGAGAAATAACCAATCAAAAGGGGTTTGAGCACTGCACAAGCTTGGCATAGGGAGGCCACACCTTCCCCAGGAAGAAGCGTCCCAGATGTGTTAGGTTTCCTCTATTTCCTCTTTGTCTACAAAATCCCTCTTACACACATCCCCACACAGATCTATGAGAAGGTTTCCTCTTTGTCTATAAGATCACACAAAATAAGGAGACTGGATTTTCAAATATCCTAACAAATCTACCTCAGACCTGCCCAAAATGCTACTGAACAAACAAGGAGTTGCACTTACTGGTCGGCGGCCTGGGAGGGAATGCCGTCCAGGGAATGAGCCAGGGAAACTTTCTAATTCCGCCATTAGCTTCGCAAGCTAAAAAGGAAGGAAACGAAGCAGAAATTATTGGTTTAGCATAACTGCTGAAAATGAGCAACTTATGGAAATTACTGTCGAATATCTCAGAGTTTCTGATTTCTCCTACACATTTACCAAGACTAATAGATTTTTTACAAAAGGAAAGTGAGCTTAGGGAAAGAAACACATTTGAAAGCACACACTGTAAAAATAATGACTTCATAACCACACGGAAAACAGTTCTTGACACAGATAAGCAACAAGTGGCGTAGAGAAAAGCTGGAAGAGTTCATTCTAACACATTCCAAGTGAGATACCTACCATTGCTTTGTTTTGCTTTATATTTAACGCCCTTTTCTCCAGAAAATTCATGCCATTTTCATCTTCTGAATCAGAGTTGGAATCAGTCACAGATTTCTCGGGGGGTGCAGGAGCTGCTGCTCTTTTGCTGGCTGCGCCCCTGGTATTTCGAGCTGGAAACTTCATGGCCACCCGGAGAGGCCCGGACCGTTTGCTTTGACTGCGGGTCCTGCAGCCTGCACGGTCTGACTGTAATCGTTGGTTAATCAGAACAATTGAGTTATCAGTGACTTGTTTGCTGAACAGGCTACATTGCCTCTGAACAAAAGATGCTTGCATCAAATACATTTTAACCGGCCACTTTAATTGTCAGTTTTAATTGGCAGCTCTGGGTAACAAAACCAGGAGTTATAAATACATACAACAATCTGAGTGTAGTGTAACTCCGGTAGCCTACTGGGACACATTGTGATAAGCCGTTTTCACAGCCCCTAGGCCAGTGGTTCTGGGCTTTTTTTTTAATTTTTTTAAATGTGAAAATCCCAACTCTCTTTTTAATTTAAAAATAGATCTTTATGTATTTCAAAAGAATTCCTACAGGAACAAATATGTGCTCTCCCATAAACATGATTTCAATGCGAATGGCAATATTAAACTCTACTGACGATGTCTGAAGGCTTTAATCTACTTTTTAAAAAATTGTGGTAAAATATACTTTTTAATTTTTTTAAATGTGAAAATCCCAACTCTCTTTTTAATTTAAAAATAGATCTTTATGTATTTCAAAAGAATTCCTACAGGAACAAATATGTGCTCTCCCATAAACATGATTTCAATGCGAATGGCAATATTAAACTCTACTGACGATGTCTGAAGCCTTTAATCTACTTTTTAAAAAATTGTGGTAAAAAATATTTAACATAAAATTTACCATTTAACCATTTTTAAGTGTACAGTTCACTGTTATCAAATACATTCAGATTGGTGTGCAACCATCACCACCATCATCTCCAGAACCTTTTCATCACCTCCAGCTGAAACTCTGTGGCCTTTAAACAACTCCCCGCAGCCCCTGGCAACCACCAGTCTGCTTCCTGTCTCTATGAATTGACTACCCTAGATACCTCTCTAATCCACTTATCATAAGGCTAAAATGAGAAAATTCTTATTTTAAAGTAGTGTAGGCTTCCATCATTAAATATGTGTTAAGATCGGCCACTGGGGAAATGCAAATCAGGATCACAAAATACCACTTCGTACCCACATACACTGCTGGCTGGAATGTAAGATGGTGCAGCCACTTTGGAGAACAGTCTGTCAGATCCTCAAAAGGTTAAACAGCTACTCTATAACCCAGCAGTTACACTCCTAGGTAGATACTCAAAAGTGTTATGTCCACACAAAAGCTTGTACACCAGTGCTCATAGCAGTTTGTACCATAATAGCCAAAAGGTACAAACAGCCCAAACATCTATCAACTGATGAATGGATAAAGTGTGGTATATTCACACAATGGGATGTGATTCAGCAATAAAAAGGTGCTAAGTATTGGCTTATGTCACAACATGGAAGAACCTAAGTGAAACAAGCCAGTCACAAAGGACCACATATTGTATGGTACCATTTCTATGAGAAGTCCAGAATAGGCAAACCTATAATGATAAAAAACAGACTGTTGGTTGCCAGTGACTGTGTGTGTTGGGAAAGGATGCAAAGTGACCGTTGATGGGTACTGGGTTTCTTTTGGAGTAATAAAAATACTATCCCAAAATAGATTGTTGTGATGGTTGAGAAAAAAACAGGAAAAAATATCCCCCATAAAGTCCCAGAAAGTGAAGACCCACTTTCAAAATTCAAAACTTTCTAAAATCCCCACAGCTTTTACTACTCTTCATGTACTTTTCGGGTGCACAAATTGAGACTATAAAATGACAAAAAAAACTTTCATGAGTTCTGAAGACTTTTAATTGATTGGCATTTTATTGATTACAACACTCAGCACCTACAAAGAATTGAAACAATACCCAGAAGTGATCTGGGCTGCAGACTATGTTTGGGTCACATCCAGATTTTCAGAGCTGCCCTGGCGATATCGCCAACATGCACGAATTTAGACCAGTATTACTCATTACAGGAAATACTGCACTACCGTGAAGCTATGAGAGCCGTAAAGACATTCCCTGGTCAGGCACTCTCACTCCTGTCAGCGTCACTCAAGTGTGGTTCCAGGCAGTCAGACCACATTGAGCTGCAGGGCATGCACCTGACTGCACATCAACACACGGCTTCCTTTGTCAAGAAAGTCTTGCTACCAAGAAACCATCTGCAGAACTGAACAGTATGTTCAGGGAGAGGGGACCCAGGTGGTGCAGCAGCAGCAGCAGCGGCAGCAAAACCATCTGCAGAACTGAACAGTATGTTCAGGGAGAGTGGGACCCAGGTGGTGCAGCAGCAGCAGCAGCAGCAGCAGCAGCAGCGGCAGCAGCCTGAGCAGGAGGAGAGGTTAAAAAGGTAAGGCAGCGTGTGCACGAAAAGGAGCGAAAGTGGAAGCAGGAAGGGCCCTAATTGTCATTATCTGCACTCGGGCCCCAGCGCATGCGTTACCATCACTGGTTTTCCAAATGCATGGATCTCCTATGGGAACATTGACCCAAGGCCTGGTCTATGCCAGGCACTGGACTGGGGCACTGGAACCTAACGGTGAATGGAACTAATCTTGAGGACACACGTGTGCTTCCTCTGATTAGGCTGGATTTCTGTGGCCATGGAAATCTGGAGGTTGGCCAAGTTTACCTTAGCAGTTTCCAAGATTTTCCGAGCCTACAAAACGTTCAGGCTTTACACATAGGACTACTTCAGTAAACTGCTTTAAGACCTAACTACTCTCAAATTTTAAAACGGTCAACAGAATCTCTGGCATGACTCAAATGAAAATTATAAGGAAAAAAAAAAAAAGCTCTTTAAAAGCAAGTACATCACGCCTCAAAATGTACCTTACTTCTTGATATTGGTGAAATTCTCCAACTCACCATTCCATCTTGTATCTCACTCTCTGAGAAACCGCAAAATGATTCATCGTCAGAGTCGGCGTGAAAAATATTGGCCAGTTTGTTAGTGACATCTGGCCTTGTTTTCTGTAAAAATCCACAATGGTCTAACACATCTTGCACCTCACTTTCTGAGAAGCCGCAGAAAGATTCATTATCAGAGTCCTCATAAAAAACATTTGCCAGTTCTTCACTGATATCTGACCTGAATTTAGGTTTCTGTAAAATAAATAAATAAATGTGGTTGTGCATCTTCCCCCCTCTTTCAAGAACCAATTTCCCATAAACCGTGCAGAGAGCAAATCACATTCACAAGTGCACTACAAGAGAATAGCTTTTGTTACAAAGAAAAACGGTTCAGAGGTTTACAAATGATTTCTGAGTTGTTATGGCAAATCATCAAGCATGTTAGGTTAGGCGACATTTCAAAAGGATAGAATAAGTAGCTAATCTACCTCCAACAATTACTACCTAGAACCACAGCAAAAAGTGAAATGAAATTACAGTGCATACTGTATTTTCATAACCGCTGTATAGAAATGTAGGCAAAAAGCAAGCCGTTTTAATCACGCACAAAGCACTTGGGGCCTTTTGAGCACTGCAGACTCAATTCTGTTTATTCTCAGGCAGCACTTACTGTGTTTGCAAAATTATCAGAAGCAAAGCTGTCACAACTGTCATCAGAGGATGACGAGGTTTCCATGGAAATCAACTTCACATAGCTGAATTTCTTGAAGTTCGTCTTTCCTCTGTGATCCTTTTGCTGCAAATGGAAATGGCAGTACCATTAAGTGGGATGCTCACTACAGCAGCTAACTAAAACATCATTTTTTAGTTTAGTAGCTTCAAACAGCACAGACATACCATTTTTTAAACCTTGTATAGGAAAAGGGTAGAATTAGCAAATGCTACAGAAAATTTTTCAAAACTAACTAAAATCCTAAAAAGGGATCCCCTCTGAAGGAAAACTGTAATGATATTTATCAACTTAAATAAATATCTGTAGAGCTACCTCTCTACCCACCTGAAGAGCCCCCAAGCTCTTAGCATTATTCTGAGCTCCCAATGAGTTTAATGCCAAACTCCCAGAATCCGCCCTTTAAAAAAAAGTAAACTGTATTTCAAAAGTGCAAAATGGTGGAGTGATTTCTCTCCCTCAGTTAAAATCAAGCTAATCAGGTCTTCTGCTGCAAGCCGTGGGCTATGCACTATGATACTAAGTCCCCAAACTACAAAACTGGACAGCACTTCTACTTCAAGATGGCAGGCTTTCAAATAGGCCTTGTTCCGATCAGGGGGGGTAAAGTGATTTCAGCACAAGTCCTTACAAATAGAATATATCAACAGAGTGAGCAAATGTCCAAGGAGCCAAGTTAAAGGTCAAATAGAACTCCAAACCCAGGGAGTATGCCAATTCCACCCCAGCGCTCTACTAGCCTAGCCTGACTTTCAAGCTCTTAACACAGTCCCCTTGCTATACAAGTCTTAAGTTTTAAGAAGTCCTTTCATAAGGCTCAAATTACTTGTAGATATAAAAATGCTTCTTTCATTCATACCAGTTGTACTGGTTAATAAGGCGGATTTTTTTCAATAGATGAGTTACACATATATATGTGATTTGATATGTATGCGATTTTGTTGTATTGACAACAAGCTTCAAAACTTCATGTCAAATTTTCTGAAGGTATTAACATCATAGATATTTTTACGCTTAAAAATGCCGAATTTTGTGCCCCCCAAAAAAGAGCATTTGCGGGAAGTTTTAATTCATTACTTTATTTTAAAGAAAAGTGCTGCTGAAAGTTATCGTATACTTCGAGATACTTGTGAACGCTGGTTTAAACGCTTTGAAAGTGATGATTTTGATGTGAAAGACAAAGAATGTCCAGGTCAACCGAAAAAGTTTGAAGACCAACAATTACAAGTATTGGATGAAGATGCGTGTCAAACTCAAAAACAACTTGCAGAAAGATTAAACATTGCTCAGCAAACAATTTCCGATCATTTACAAGCAATGGGAAAGATTTTAAAGGAAGGAAAACAGGTGCCACATCAACTGAACGAAAGACAAATGGAAAACCGAAAAGTCATCAATAAAATGTTGCTTCAACAGCACGAAAGAAAGTCTTTTTTGCATCGAATTGTGACTGGCGATGAAAAGTGGATTTGAGAATCCCAAATGCACAAAATCATGGGTTGATCCAGGTCAACCATCAACATTGACTGCAAGGCCAAATCGCTTTGGAAAGAAGACAATGCTATGCGTTTGGTGGGATCAGGAAGGTGTATTATGAGCTTCTAAAACCAGGTGAAACCATTAATACTGATCGCTACCGACCACAAATAATCAATTTGAACCACAAACAGAATGGGCCAGAAGACACGGCAGAGTGATTTTGCTTCATGATGATGCACCATCACACACTTCAAAAACTAGTTGAAGACATGTTAAAAGCTCTTGCCTGGGAGGTATTAACCCACCCGCTGTATTCACCAGACCTTGCTCCTTCAGATTACCACTTGTTCTGATCGATGGCACACGCACTTTCTAAGCAGCACTTCAAAACATATGAAGAAGTGGAAAACTGGGTCTCTGAATTGGTTTGCCTCAAAACAGGAAAAGTTCTACTGGGACGGTATCCACAAATTACTGGGAAGATGGGGGAAATAGCTAGCGATGGACATTACTTTGAATAAAGCACTTTTGATGTTTCTCTTGAAATTATCATGTTTTCTTTGGATTACAAAATCTGCATTATTAACCAGTTGACAGTTAATCCGCATTATTAACCGGTTGACAGTTCATCTGAATTATTAATGGGTTAGACAGTTAATCCGCATAATTAACCGTAATCAAAGAAAACACGATAATTTCAAGAGAAACAGTCTCTTGCAAATAAAATTATTTTCATGATGATGGTATCCAACCATCCTATGCTCCTAAGTAGACTCCATTCAGCCACCTTAGAAAGTTTTTGTCCTTTGTCCTTTTAGAAAGACAATAAAATATGATAAAAGGTAGAGCTACTACATATTAAAAGGATCTCTGAACCCCATTTTTCAGACGAGGACATTCAAGGCTCCGGGAAGATGAAATTTATTGTCCAAGATCATAGGGCTGGAAGGAGAAATCAGCCTACAATCTCCTAAAACAGCAGTATTCCTGCATTACTGCAGGAATTATCATCATTTACTCATCAACCTATGCAAGCAGAGGCTCAAGACAGATTCGAGGAAGGCATTCCATTGGAAGCAGTCAGGGAAATATATGCTGGGCTTTTAACAAGTCAGCACATGCCAAAAGTTGTTACTGGGCAAATGTTTGCAGGGAACGACGTAGAAGAAACAAGCAAATACTTATGATTGAGATCAACTTTTTTGGCAGACAGGTAATAGACTAATAATAGCGCTTAGTAGGTGTTTTCGGTGCCAGGCACTAAGTATGCTTTCACATTATAATTCATTCTTTGCAACAAAGGTGTATCATTATTCCCACTTAACAAATGGGGAAACTGAGCTTCAGAGAGGTGAAATGGATTATTCAAGTCGAGCGATTGCTTAAATTTGAATCCAGGCATGTCAGATGCCAAGCTCAGCTACATACGGCTTTCTTCACCCTGAAAACCAAAGCCTAGTTCCTAGGATGTCTCTGAAACCACGTGCCCAACCCGCTCTCCCCACCCCCCAGCCTCCCCACTTGTGAACCTAACTCTGATATTTATTTTAAGCATGTCACATTCTTCCTTTTCACCCTACCCCCACCTTCTACCCTCCCCTGGGGCAGACCCCACGTTCCGGTTTCCGTTAAGAGCAAAGAGTAACGTTCCACTGGGCCAACATCCTGCAGCTTGAGAGTAAGGCCCCTGGGGGCTGGGGAAAGGAATGGGAAAAAAACGAAAGGCTGCAAATAGTTTGGACCTCCAAGTCTTTCAATTGTACTTAATCACCGCCTGGGACTAGAAACACCCCCGCCCGTGTGCGCCACCAAAGTGTGTGCAAGACCTTTAAACTTCCAACCCACCAACCCTGAGCGGTTGGAAGTGGCACTAGCGGGCGGGGAGCTGGAAAGGGCCGGGGCGCTGCAGGGCATGCAGAGTAAAGTCACAGGGAGCGCATCCCACCGGCCAGGATCGGGCCCGCGGACACAGTGGGGGCCCCGCGGACACTATGGGGAGACTGGCCAACCCCGTGCGCTGTCCGGCACGTGCACCTCGACCCCACGTGGCCTTGGATTCCCCACCGCTGCCAATCATCCTGCAAATCGCTCAAATCTCTAAACCGCCGCGCACCACTTGCGCACGCCCGGCGGGGACTGTCCCAGACCCCGAATCACCCCAAACAGCACAAAACGTGGGGCTTTCCTAAAGGGGCGCCGCCCAGGACGGCCACCCGCTGATGAGTAGCACTCAGTCCTTGGAGTTGGAGGGGGTCGGCCCGCACCCACCGTGCCCGCCCCGCAGGTTTGCCCACCAAGCCCTCACCAGCACGCGGCGAGCATCCATGGTGGTAGCCGGG